GACCATTTCTGGACAGCAACTTTCAGCGTCATTAAGCTGCTGCGCCACCGCGTCCCCCATAGATAATATAGATACAGATATAGATATACTGTAAAGGGACCAGCTGACACTGTCTGTTACTACTGCAAAATGTTTTATGGTTGAAATGACCCAGTCCTAAAATGTCCTATTCAAAGTGGCTGTTTCTGTCTTATCAGAAGTGTTCCAACATTGTTCTGACTTTAGCATCAACATTTCAGCCTCAAAATAGACCATCCTGATTATACTGAAAGAAATGCTGAAAAAACTGAACTGAAAATCAGAATACTTCGGGTCTGGTTAGAACAGCCCATTCCAGAGTTTTCATCATGAAACGTTTTGCATAGATCTGCTTAAGTGATGAGTATTTATTATCTAATATGATTTATAATGCCATACTCCATTTGCATACTTTAGGGCCTTCATCCTATTTTGCGCCCTTGCTGTGAACCTTGATTTTTTGTTATAACTTTCAGCTTTCCTACTTTTAGCCTCAATGTTAAGTAATAGGAAATTTAAAATGGATAAAGAGTGAAATTAAATCATACTTGCAAATTAACTATGGTCAGAAAGATTTTTTTTTTTCCTTCTTGGAGAAGTGGCTAAGTTAACAATGTCCTTATTTACTTCCTTGCTGAGGTAGAAGAAGGAACAGAGTAGGCATTACATAGTCCCCACTGATTAAGCTGAACTTGCAATTGACTGATTTGTACAGAAAATCCTTTAGGTTACTTTAAGTAGAGATACTGGTAACAAGTTCCTTGGTCAGTTAGTATGCTGTCTGTATAAGTGCTATTTTTATCATCTTAAACTATCATAGAATATGTCAGCTTGATCAAAAAAAAGTCCATTCCCATTATACATCTGATTAATACTTCTATTGACACCCAGTGTGGTATAGTGGTTAAGGTGCTGGAATGGAGTGGGGAAACCCCAGTTGTACTCCTTTCTTAGACAAGGAAGCCAGCTGGATGACCTTGGGCTGGTAACTTTCTCTCAGCCCTAGGAAGAAGGCAGTGGCAAACCACTTCCAAAATTGTTGCTAAGAACATTGCATGGACCTATCTATGTATAGTAGTTGCTAGGAGGCAAGACTGACTTGAAGGTCCCCTTCCCCCTTCTGCTATTGAAGAAGATCTGGTCACCCCAGGCTAGTACAGGTAGTCCTCACTTACTGACTGCCTCATTTAGCAACTGTTCAAAGTTACGACTGTGTTAAAAAAAAGCTTTGCAATCAATCTTCGCATTTATGACAGTCACAGCATCCCACAGTCATGTGATCGCCATTTAGGTGCTTTGCAACTGGTGTGCATTTATGACTTGCAGCATCCTGCAGTCACATGATTGACATTTGTGTGCTTCTCAACTAACTTGCAACAGAGAATGTAAAATCGTAAGTCACAGTCATGTGATGTTTTGCTTAATGATTGAATGGGAAGTGATGTTGTAAGTTGGTCGCAGTCACATGATTTTCCACTTAGTGACCATGGCGCTTAGCGATGGAGTTGCTGGTCCCAATTGTGGTCATTAAGCCAGGACTTATGTAGAGATGGAGGGATAAATAACCAACTAATTGTTGTATTGGGCTACATCTTCACAGCTAACACATTAGCT